AAACAAACAACTCTGGCATCCCAAAACCGGGTCGGAAGCTACTCCGCCCAATCTGTCATGCAGACTGGGTCGGGGTGCATGTCCGCGCCGAATCCGCTGGCTCCCTTGTGGGGCCACCAGGCTGTAGGGCTAGGGTTTGCTGCTCCCTGCACCAGTTGCACGTTCCAGTTTCCACTGTTACAAGTTTGCTTTCTGCTTCCTGATGTAAATTGTTACTGTCCGCGCGAGGGGGGGGGGGGGGCTGAGAAAAACACGGCTACCACGCCCGAGTCGCGTGCTCCGAATTCCTCACTGTGCGCCCCCGCTCGGGGGGGGGGGGGGGGGGGGGGGGGGGGGGGGATTATGTAAAACTACATGACATTCGCGCCCCCGAACGCATAAGCCCTCGTCAATTAAGCGATATTCGCGCTCCCGAGGCCATAAACCCTTGTAGATGACGCTCTAATATCGGCCAGAAGCCGTACACCCTTGCAATGTACGGAAGAGCCGCGTTTCCGAAGACGCATACCCGTGCGATTTACGCAATATTCATGTCCTCGATGGCAGAAGCCCTCGTGGAGTACGCTATATTCGCGTCTCCGAAGCCATACGCCCTTATAAATTGCGCCACAGTCGCGGCCCCGAAGCAACAATCTCATGTAAATTGCACACGGTTCGCATCCCGTGACCACGAATCCACCTCGCGGAAGCTGCCCGCAAACGCCCCCTCTGTCCAGAGCCGAAACACAACCAGTTCTGTACTGGAACAAGCGTTCGGGGGGCGCCTTTTGGACCCCCCGCTGTCTCTTAAAATCTGGCGTCGGGCCCGAAGCTTCCGAAGCCACGATGCCCGAGGCCATAAACCCTCGTAACTTCCGCGATGCTTCTCCGAGTCCACAAGCTCCCATAAAGTACAAGCAACCCCTAATCTTTCCAAGAAGGCCTTCAATGCATAGCATGCGGGGGTAAGCTCAAAATGCAACACCGAGTTCAAAATTCCGCGGTCCCCCTTCTGGGGCCACCAGGCTGTAGGCTGAGGGTTTGCTGTTCCCTGCGCCATGTCTTGAAATTGAAATGCCACATGGGATGTGCCACATGTCTTGAATTTCGGAGGCCCCCCTCGCGCAGATCGGCGGGGTCAGGGTCAAAAAACACAACGGATTTGCCACATTCCTGAACTCGGGTGGCACTCCTCATGTAGATCGGCGGGGTGAGGGTCGAACAACACATGGGATTTGCCACATATTTTGAAATTTGGTGGCGCCCCTCACGCAGATCGGTGGGGTCAGGGTCAAACAAGCACATGGGATCTGCAAAATTTCAATACTTCGTAGGAAAGCTTTTGCACAGCATGCGCGAGCAAACTCGAAATACAACACCGAATTCAACAACACCACCCAACTCTCAATGTGTCTTGCCGGTTACTCACCGTCTTCGCGTGAAGACCCGATGCTGCTTCACGGCGGCGCCAAGGCCTCATGCTTTCGCTCTTGCATTGCCCATTATCCGAGAGAGGGGGCCAGCGGCAGAGGGCGAAGCCCTTACGGATAATTATACTCCGCCTACCCAACCAGTTGTCCGTCATCTTAAACGCAGACCGCATAATACATGTGTTACGGCGGTTTAGCAAAAGGGATTCCCGACTGAGACTTCCTCATAGGGCACTCACAGGCGAAGGTCCCGCTCGAGACGTCCTCCATATCCACGCCTACGGAACCCAACACTGATGACAATTACAGGATCTGGATGGTCAGCTCAGATTACTAGCATAATCTGGCGGTCCAGTAAGGAAGGGGCTCCCGCCTGAGACTTCCGCGCATATCACTCACAGACGAGGCTCCCGCTCAAGACCTCCTCAGGATGAACGCGTTGTTCTGTTAACGCGACTGACATGAGTGCGAGAAGAGGTGTGAGATGATGATGATGATGCAGATAGGGATGACGGTGGTGATGATGATGCTGATATTGATGGTGATGGTGTGAGTTCGTATGGGTGCGTGTGTGCATGTTGCATGGGCGAAGGTGCATATGATGATGGTTACCGATGGCCATGACGGGATGATGCTAGTGATGATGGTGTAATGGTGGTGATAAGTGTGAAACGGGGGAATGGGGCTGCGCGGGGTGTCAGGGAAAACCAAACAAAAATTTAAGGCGTGTGACACAAAAAACTATAGAGTATTAGATGAAACGATACTGAGATCCAGAAAAGGGAAGAAACACAGGGAGAAAGAGACAGGAAAAAGAAACGAGACAACGACAACGAGAGAGCACACCCAAACGAGACAGCGAGGACGGGATAGAGAAGATTGGGGCGAGGGAGCGAGCAGCGAAATGCAGTCGGTTTGACAGAAGGCCCGAATAAAACATGAATAGCACGGGTATGATCGATCCCCGGCGACAGTGGAGTTCTGGGCCCCCAGTTAAGAGCGAACAACAACAACTGACATATAAACCAAGGCCAATGCTGGCCCGGGTTGGCCTCCTCTGTTGCTTCAACGTCGGGGCTGCACCTGAACTCCAAGCCGGTGCCAGGGGTGTCACGATTCGGCCTAGACCCGCATCCAAACCCCAGTCAACCGGCGCAGGATCTCCCAACGTTTCGACGGATTGACACGTTAGCCATCCGCGGGCGCCAGAAGCCTCGGGTCTCGAGCGTGGGCACCAGAGGCCCCGGGTCTTGAGCGACCTCCTCCCCGGGATTTCCTTGAGTCGCCCGGGATACACCTTTTTGTCGGGGCCCGTGGGGCCCGACGGCGGACCCCGAGACGCCGAAACATGATGAACAACGGCGGGGTCGAGACATCAAGCAGCTTGAAGGAAGGTGCTGCGGGCGAGCGGCTTTCCTGCAGCACCCTCCTTCCCCCAAAAGGAGGAACAGCAGCCGCAGTTTTCGACTAGGGGATCGACTGCAGAGTTGATGTGCCTCCCAAATCTGTTTCTTTGTAGAGCATGCCACGACACATGCCACGCGGTTGATTTTTGTAGATCGGGCTAGACCATCAAGTGTGGCAAACAGGTGGAGCAGGCAAATCCTGTGTTCGATTGTCACGTCTGGGCGTCGGGCGCCCTGCCAATGTCCAGGTGCCTTTGCCGACGTATGAGACGTGCCCTCATCGGATGGAGGCCTCCCAAAGTGAGCTGGAGCGGATGGGGTCCGAGGACCGCTGGTGCATCGGCGACGGCGGATGGAGAAGAACGGGCTCCAGATACGCCGCATCGCCAATGCATCGGCGATGTGGAGCACTAGGTTCAGCAGGCCTGGAGCTGAGCTCCTCCTCCTCCTCGCGTGGGCTCTCTGGGCCCCCGCGGCGGGCCACGGGAACGGCAAGGCTGGCACGAGGGTGGCACTTCAGGAGGGAAACGGGTCCTGGACCTGGGAACGTTCCCTTGGCCCAGGGCCAATCTCTCACCCTCAGCACTGGTGTGACAGCCCCCCGGGCCCGAGACTGCATGCTCTAGGAATTATCAGCGGGAAGGCGCTCAAACAATCGAACGCACGCCGCTCTGTGTGCTAGCGCGTGGGACCAGCCCACAGCTTCCGGCGTCCCTGCCATATCCGAGGGGCCGTTCCGCCGTCAGGAGGGTTCCCGAAAGCATCGCGACACTCGTGGGCGGAAAAAGCATATCGGGAGCGGCCAAGAGGGGGGTGTCCAAGAGGGGGGGGTGCAAATCATGACCGGCGGCATGAGCGCGGCCCAGCAGTGGGGCCAGGGACGTAATGGAATAAGAAGAGGAGCCATGAACTCTGAGGAAATATCATGCCCCCCGCCATGATATCCACCCCCCCCCCCTAGTCATCATCCCCCTCTTTGCCGCTCCCGAACATACACACCCGCATCCATGGCCTCGCGGGCCGGGCCCCTGGGCCGCGGCCCAGGGGCACGTGGCGTCTCCAGCCCGCCTCTCCGCTACGCGCCTGCCCCCCCCCCCTCGGAAGGTCGGCCTTGGCCCGCTCCCTCCTGGGCTGTGCCGCCGTTGCCGGCGCGCCGCCCAGCTTCGCCGGCTTTCGCGGCTTCTTCAGCCTGCGACTTTTGGGGCTCGCCGCCTGCTACAGCTCCCGCGCAGTTCCTTGGTTCTCCTTGACTGTCCGCCCTGTTTGCTGGCTATCCTCGCCTTCCAATCCTGGCTGGGTCATGGCACCCTGCACCTCACCGTAGGCTCGTCTGTTCGGTGCCACCCCCCGCCATCCATGCGAGGATGGTTATGACTGCTGGCGGCTGCGAGGTAGTCTCTGGGTGGTCGGGCGGTCTTAGTCGCGCGCTTCCTGTTTTCCGACCTTCTACGCCATGTCGCCGCGCGCAGGGCCGCGACGCCAAACAGCGTGTGTATATATGTGTGTGGTGTGTGTCTGTCTATGTGTATGCTTGTGTATGTATGTATGTGCGTGTGTGTGTGTGTGTGTGTTTGTGAGTGTGTGTGTGGGTGTGTGTGGTGTGTGTGTGTGTGTGTGTGTGTGTGTGTGTGCGTGCGTGCGTGCGTGCGTGCGTGTGTGTGGGGAGGAGGGTCAAGGTTTCGCCTTGTGGGCGGCCATGGACGCCTCGTAGACGCCTGGCGCTGCTTGTCTTGCACTCATGGCATGAGTATCATGGCATGCAAACTTTCGCTTACCCTCGTCAAAGTTTACTCCGCAAAGTGTGCACCATTTAGCTTGTCTACATCGCTTATGCCGTGCAGCTTGCACCACATTGTCTGCACCACCCGTGGCTTCCACCACAGCGATTGCTCCACATACATTGGCTCGCGCATGAATTTCCTCGCGAATTCTTGAAGCGGGCACGGCTTGCAGCACACACGCAGAGCGCACCACGCAGCTTGTGCACACCCAGAGTGGGAAGGCGCACTTCTCGGGGCCCACGCTGGCACGCATGATTTGTGTTGGTTGTGTGGATGTGGGTCCGTTCCTGATCCTCCATGGGGCCTGCAGGAGTCTGTGGGGTTCTCAGGGGGACGTCCGGGCAACAAGCCTTACCACCTCCGCCCCTTTCAGCGCCTCGCCCACGCGCGCGGGGCGGCGGGGCCTGGATCCGACTGTGGCGTAGACCGTCGCCATGGGGCTGCCTCGGACGAGCTTCTGTGCAGACAGGGCGCCCACCTGCCGCGCCAGCGCCAGCACCAGGCGATCCAGGCGTGTCAAGAAGTCTGCGAGGGCGTCGCCCGAGTCGCCGGAGGTGCAATCGAGGTAGCAGAACTCGTCCGAGCGCGGCGCGTCGGGGTGGTCGCCGCGCGGAAGATTGGGCGTTGCCAGAGGGGTCCCTGGCCCGAGGCGTCCCCAGGATTTCGCAGGGCGGCCCAGGTGGCCTCCGGAGCACAGCTCAGGAGGCCCAGAGGGCCTCAGGGGCTCCACAGCGGCACGATCGAAGAGCCTGGGAGGCGTCGGCCCAGGGTCACCCTTTGGCCCCCCCCGAGATGAGAGCCACCCTGGACTTCGCCGGGCGATAGGCCTCCAGCCCTCCAGGCGTCCAGCACCCGCTGCCGCAGGGCGTCGGCCTCGGGCCCTCCCAGGAAGCCGTCGCCGCACGCCCAGCCGCGGAGCCCCAGGGCGGCGGCCAGCTCCTCTTGGAGGCACTGGTGCCACAACGTGACCGCGTCGGCGACCCGCGGGATAGTGAGCACCAGCCGCCCCGAGC